CTAAGTTGCTCTACAGCATAAAAGTGGGTTCTGAGCCAGGACTTCTTCCCTGATGTGAGGGGTGTGGCTATGGTTTGTGTTCTTTCTTGTGGTCCTAAACACCTGTGCTCTCCAACATTATCCACTCATTCATCCATCCATTCGTCCATTCCATTTTGTAGGAGAACCCCAAATGGGATGCCTACATAGAGAAGGTAAACAAGAAATTGCTAGAGTCTGGTGAATCAAAGCCCCCAAGTCTTTACTTGGAAGTGAAAATTGGTTGTGTTTGGAGTAGAGAGAAAGAATCTTAGCTAGACCGTGTGTACACAACAAAACAGAAAAACAAAATCAGAATATGTCCTCAAGTGTTGGGGAGAAGATTAGGCAATGCTTGTTGGTCTTTTAAAAAATAGCTAAGTACTGTGGAATCCTACAGAAAGAACTAGAAAAGAGGTCTAGGAAAAGGAATGTGGGGAACAAAACAGTATAATACTCATTCCCCCTCCCTAGAATTTGAAATAATAAGTTTTTACAGGTAATTAAGAGAACGTGTAAGGATTCTGAAAGTTTCCTAAGTAGAAAATTTTTTGTTGGAGAGAAGGCAGGTGAGTTAATGAATACAAATGTGCATTAAAAACAGAGAGAAAATTATGGGTGGAAAGAGGGAGAGGGAGAAGAAGGATAATTGTTTTTAAAAATTCAGCCTACAAGAATAGACTTTACTAATCAAATGATGCCTTGATTTTTTCTAAATAAGAAGATTGTTTTATTTAACACAAGAGGTGTTGTTTAGAAAGATTCATGTTATGATATATATTAGGTTGTCTCATTTTATGTAAGAAGCAGATTTGAACTCTTTTTAAGTTCCTTTACTTTGTGGTTGCACTTTTAAAAAGATACTACATTATTTCATGCCTTTAAAAAAATGTTTAAAGTAGGACCTACATACAGAGCATTGCAAATGATTAAAAACAAAGTAATGTGAAAATATTATGACCTAAAAGAATTCTTCATGTCACAAGTGTTTGACTTTGATGATGTGCCTTTGATTTAATTTGGGATACTTTTAGAAGGATACTTCTTGTTTGGAATAATCTTTGAAGATCTTGGAAATAAATTCTGTTTAATTCATCATTTTCTATGACAGCAAAAAAAAAAAAAAAAATTCAGCCTACATTGTACTCTGTCCTAGAATATTTAGTATTTCCATCCCAGACTATGTAGTGTTTTAAATAATGTCTTTCAGGGGAAATTGATTTGAAGCTAGAAAGGCCTTTTGAAAGGTAGAGATTTTAGGATTTGTATTTTTCCCCCCACATGTTTATTTGAAGTTTTATACATACAAGCTATATTTTAAAGAGGCATTATTACATATTAGAAAACATCTTAAGACCAATAAGGGTAGTTAATAACTTCAGTATGGTGAAAGAATATTAAAACTACTAACTCAAACTATTGACCCAAAATATGTCAATAGCAGAATACAGTACAGAACAATTAAGGATATAAGAAAATACAAACTTATGACATTTCTGTGATAACATTTAAAACAAAATTTTTAAATTGGCAAAATTCATTTAATTTAATTATCTTTAAATCTTGCTATCTAAAATTAAGATTCAAAAATTTCAAATGTCCATCATCCTATTATGATTTTTCATACAAGAAATCATAATAATTTTTTTTCCTATAGGAGAATATCAAAAGCTTCTTCCCCTGAAGAAACTTGGAGGGTTTTTTTTTTCTCTCTCTCTCTCTCTCTTTTTTTTTTTTTAAGTTGAAACTGCCCTTCTTTAAGTGAGTAGATGTTTTTCTATTATTTTTCCATCAGTTGAAAAAAGAACATTTCAATTAGAAAAAGGTAGTAACGTATTTAAACTGTGTTTATCCTAACTGATATAAAACATTATGAAGATGACAGAAAGCAAGATTATTTAAGTTAAATAAAATAAATTAGATAGAAATTCTTTATCTAAAAAAGATCAATTTGTTGATTAAAAAAAGAGAGAGAGACCCCCCTTTTTGCACTTTTTCATAGATATTATAATATGGTTATCATGATCCATCTTTTTAAAGTATTTAAGACATAACAAAAGTAAATGAAAGTTATACTTCTGGTGCAAAGTTTAAAAAATATCTAGCAAAATCAGAAAGAAAGGGATTTTTTTAGACACCTAAAATATTCCTAAAAATAAATATAAACTAATGTAATAATTAAAAATAGACTACTTGAAATTTTTCAAAGTTTGGTCATTGCTTTAAAAACAGGCCAGTGAATTAAAGCTAATTAAGATTTGGGCAGTAACAGAGAAATTTAAACTTTGGGCTCTACTTACATGCTGAGAAATTATTGTTTTGTAGGGCCAGAATGTAAATATAAACAATTTGATGAATTAGGCAAGAACCTGCACTTTGTGTGCAGCCTCTTTTCAGTTTGGGGTGATTATGTTATACTGGTAATGTATGAAAAGACAGATTAACTTTTTGAGTACATTTTAATATTAGCAATTCATTCTATTTTGGTATTAATTCTATTAGTGCAGTTTGCATGAATAGTATAAATTACATACATAAAAGTCAGGTGTTTTAAAGTAGATAAACTAAACATGCAATTTAAATGCCTAAACAAACATTTTAGCATGCTTTGATGTCTTGTATGAAATTTTAAATATAAAATAAGTAGTTACAGAAATTATACATAGGGTCTGTTATAAAAAGGAGAATGTGTTCATTGTAGCTTTGTCACTAATACCACATTTGAAAAAAGAAATAAACTGTAATGTTTGTCTTCTCTTAACATGCATATATTTTAAAGAGTAGATAAGCTTTCTCTTAATTTTAAATATAATAATTCAGTTATGTATGAATATTAAAAAATCAGTATAGAGTTTAGGTTGTAAAAAAATACGCATTAAAATTCATGTGGTAAAAAGAATATAAATATTTGGGAGAAAAATGCTGATTTTTTGACATGAATTTGAAGAATGCATTTCTAAAATGTATTTGTTTTCTTATAAAGATATTTATAGTAATATTAAACATATAAGTTAAGACTCACTTAAATTACTTAATTAGGATATACTAAACTTTCCCAAGTTATTTTTTAAAGGATGATTATGGTAATCTGAAAAATTATAGTCATTTCTAATATAATCTTTTTATAAAGTTCTTTAATGTATTGTATCAATTTTTAAATCTAATATTTTGATGGTTAACATAAAAGAAAAACATGACTAACCTCCTAATAGTAAACATAATCTCTTAGCACTGAGAAGAGAACTGTAAGCATGTTATAAATATGAGATCAGTTTCATTTCTTTCTCGTTCTTGAGCCTTTCTTATGAATCATATATTTTAACATCAGGAGATTAATATATAAAATATGCATAAAATTTCTATGTTCTGACAGATATGAAAAATAGAGGGGGAAAAATGTAATTTTGCCTAGCTAGATACTAACTAAATTGTTAAATGAAAATAATAAAAATACAGAAACTAAATAGTGTAATGAACTAAAATTCCAAATATGTATATATGATTTTTTGTGTCTTACAGCATTTGTCTTAATTATTTATGAAACTGCAATTTATATATGAGTGAAAAAATAAATGATGGATAAGTATTTTCTTATTGTAGTTTACTCGAACAAAAATTTACTAATAAGCTAACCGGAATATTAAGAAACAGGATTAAAATAGAAATTTTGCAGAATTTAATTGAAGATATACCTTTCTAACAAGGCTTTGGTGTTTTGGGGTGCGTATTAGGATTTCTGAGTTTTGTGATTTGAAGTTCATGATATATTTTGAGTGCCCTTTCAAATGACAAAATGTTTTTGAGCAAAAATCAAACATTGTCTACATTTTATTTTACATTTGGATGTGGGAAAAATAGCAGATGCTTTGGGAAAATTCTAGTTGTTGTTTTAGTGCATGCTTCAAATACCAATTATTTTTTTTCCTCAGTCAGTTACACGTCTGGACATGTTACAATTTGTCTGTGTACATTTTGGGCATATTTAACTTACATTGATGATACACTAACATCTAAAAATGATTGTTATTCTTTACTGAAATAATGGGAAAAATATTTAAAAGACATGCCTTTAAAAACTCTTATTTTAATTAATATGAGAAAGACTTTCAAAGAGTTCAGTCATGAATACAATAGGGGATTTTTGCACTTTCTTGAAAGAATGAACTCTGTTTATTTTTCTGAATTTTATAAAAATGTTTACTTGTTGGTTTGTTGACATTTTAAAGTCAGAAAGGAGTAAAACAGCATAATATGCTATTTCTGATTATTTTTCTACCCAGAGAGAGAAAGGGAAAGTAAACATGTTGTTGACTCAACAGTTTTCCCCTAAAAATTTTAATTTTAAATTGAAAAGGTATATTGTCCATAATTATTATTATTATTTTTTAGTTAGAACTTATTTGGAATTGCATGAATTTTTCTGAATCGATGTATTTGAGGAAATTTGTCTTTCAAAACTGAGAGATGTAGAATATTGTGGGCAGTTATAGGATAGTCTTTCTCTCGTTGGTTCTCAGAACTTAGAAAACATTTAAAATTAGTAGTGTTGAGTACAGGAATCTCTGGACTTTGATAAAATTTTTAAAATGCCAGAAAAGTATCAAGGCGAGGGGGGGAGACGAAATGAACCTAAGTGTCCCCCTTCCATGGTAAAGATTGACACTGTGAGGAGTTCTCTGGAGATTAACAAACAGGACTCTGTCGGGGATCATTTTCTGGGCAGCTGCAGGTTATTTGTGTGATAAGGGAAGGAGGCGAGAGGGCATAATTGCAACTGTTGGACAAAATTGCTGAAGTTAGTTTCGGACAGAGAGGGTGAAACCGGGAGCAACAGTTAGGTGCGGGGAGGAGGAGGGGCACGAGGATCGCCACCCCCAGCGCCACGACAGGGTTAACGGCGGCGCGCCCGGTGCACTCTGGGAGTTGTATGCGGCGCGCGGCATTGTGGGATTTGTCGTAAAAGGCCTGCTTTCTCGCCGTCATGGCCGCCTCCGAGGCGCGGAGCACACTGTTTCTGCCTTTCTAGGGGGTTTGGGGGCTCTTTGTCCGGTCAGAGGCCACCAACAGCCCCCCAGGTTGCCGAGGGCCTGCTAACTGTGTTCCTGGGAGGTGGGCGAGTGACCTGAGGGGTTAACTTTGGGACTGTAGTGGTTTTCCCGGCCGAAAGGCCTCTGGCTGCTACAGGCTTGGTGAGGGGAGGGTCCAGCCTGCCAGACCCTGGCCGTCTGGCCGTCTGCCTCTGAAAAGTTGGGTTGGTCAGCATCTAGGAGTTTAGCAGTGTGCTTTTGGGTGTTGTAGTTTGTGTCCGGCACCTTTCCCTTTTCACACAGCATTTGGCTCTGTTTATTTAGTCCTTGGTGCTCAGGACCCTCTTTAGGGTTAAGTTGGGATCATTTTCTTTGGGTCCAGGGGGACTTATGCAAGAACTGGAATCTTAGAAGGTGTGTACAGCGGTGTCCTGGGTGTCTATTGTCTGGGGTGTAAGGAATTGCATGGATGTGAGCAATTTCACGAATCTGTGAATGTGTGGCTAGCTTTTTATTGCATGTGGTGGACTTTATCCTAGTTTGCTAATGCTGAGAGGCTGTGTCAGGCAGTTCCTGCTTGTGAAATGCTTTTCTGTTAACTTGGATGTGTTCTTAAATCTTTGGGAGCTTCAGAGGGGTGTTTTGCAGTTGTTGTGGGAAGATGTGTGTCTAAAACTGAATTTTCAAAAACTGTCAGAATCACAAGTAACTTTAGTTCTAGGGAGCAACCCCCCTTGGCTTTCCTGGTACTGCAGAGTTGTCGGGGGTTCTTTTATGGAAATCAGGTTTGCTCTCAGGTGTGTTACCTTACTCTTGGCTCATAGGGTTCCTCTGCATGTTGAGACTCAGCTGTTTGGTATCAGGTACTCTTTCCACACTTGAGACAAAATGGAGCACTGTGTTTTGACATGTAATTACATGTATCAGAATCTCAGGGTAACATCAGATTGCTGTGCACCTCAGGACCTGTTTTACCTGTCCGTACAAAGTTGGATCTCACTGTGTCTGCCACTGTGTACTAGTACTTGCATAAATTTTGCCTTGTTTCTGTGTTCTGGGTGTTGACTACATAACCTGAGGCATAACTGGTCACAAAAAGCCATTTCTCAAACAGTATTATTAAAAAGTTTTGGAGCACTGGGGTCTAGGAAATTTTTTCACTTAAGTTGGATGAAATAAGGGATTTGAAATAAGGTATAACAAAAGTTTTGGAATTCAGCTACCAATTTTTAGTTTTAGGGGCAGCCACATGACTTGATCTAGAAAAAGTTTAATTAAAAAAACCTGTTGCATTCTTTGTTGGTATATTAGAGCACATAAAGACTCATTGTGTTTTCATACATTATTTAAAAAACATCTTTGAAGAATGTGATGAGTGGGAGTCTCATAATTCCCCTCTTCTTTGGATTTGCTTAGTATTTGACTACTTCAGAATGTTGTTGTGACAGAGAAAGGAACAAAGCTGGCTAAGTTTATATGTGATTTCTGTTGAAAGTGATGTCAGTTACAGATTGAGACTCAGGAAGGTATTTCCTTCCCTCTGACTTAACCCCAGTATCTCAGAGTATTAACTCACTCAGCGGGGGAATTGGGTCTGTGATCCCAGCTACTTAGGAGGTGGAGGCAGTAGGATCAAAAGTTCAAGGCCAGCCTTGGTTTCCTGAGCCCCTGTCTCAAAATTAAAAATGACTGGGGATGTGTCTCGGTGGTAAAGCACCCCTGGGCTTAATTCCCAAATAAGTACACAATAAGTAAATATATATTAACTCGTAAGTTGAAAAAAGATTGAGAAATTTATTTTTAAATGACCCACACTGTTTTTATTTGGTGATATGGTAAAATAACATTGATTCTGGTGAATTGGTTTTGTATCTTAGAAAGTCTGAATGTTGGAGTTTAGATTTGTAGAATCATTGAAAACTAACCACAACCAAAGTGTTAATTTGCTTTGAAAGAAGTTGCATAAATTTTTATTGCCAGGTAGAACAAATGATTCATTAGAAGGTGTCTGAAGGTGCTTTGTGAATGAAAGAGTATTTACTTGGTTAAGTTTAGAGATAAACTCATCTCTACATTTACAGAACCCTTTTGGATGTTCATATAAATACCTACCTCTCTCCATGAAATAGTAAGATTTTGCACCCAAGAATTCTCTCATTTTATCCTTGAGGGCTTATGGTACTCCATTTTCTACTCTCATCACTCCAGTTCTGCTACTGGTGTAAAATGTCTTTAAAACTTGCAAAGACAACAATAGGTGATTTAGAAAGAAAGCATGGTAAGACCCAATTATCTTTTCTGTAGAGTGATTCTTAAGATTGTATGGACACATTTGATAGATATGTCAATAACTGTCTTTTTGAAACTTAGGGTTTATATGGTTTCACCAAAACTCCTTTCAATAAGACATAACACCAAAGAATAATTTTCTTGACCAAGGTGTTATAAATGAAAGCTTTTGGTTATAGTGTTCATTTAAAAATGAAATATATAAGCTTCTGAATTATAGAATTTGAAGATGACAAAAAATAATTTTTTTAAAAACCCCAAGTTTTCATTTTAGATTGTAGCTGATATAGAGACACTAGGGAGGGATTTGGATAGGAGTATCTGGGGCTTTTACTGTGGTCCTTTCTATTCTCATTTTCCATTGCTAAGAGTAAACAGTTCTTACTGGAGCATTTCTGCATCTGTGAATATTTGTGAGCAGTAAAATTGCATAAGAACAACAAGTCACCCATTTAGAATTTGATCTTTATTTTTCTTTCTTTGGGAGTGGAGGGTAACCAGGGATTGAACTCAGGGACACTTGACCACTGAGCCACATCCCCAGCCTTATTTTGTATTTTATTTAGAGACGGTCTCACTGAGTTGCTTAATGCCTCACTTTTGCTGAGGCTGGCTTTGAATTTGAGATCTTCCTGCCTCAGTCTCCTGAGCTGCCGGGATTACAGGCCCTACGTTACAGGTGTGTGCTGCTGTGCCTGGCTAATTTTAATTTTTATTTAAGAGGAAGAATTGTTTATTGTATAGTTTGTGGACTTGCGTGTAGTCTTCTCAACCCATTTTGTGTGGTTTCAAATTGCATTACTCTTACACATGGAATGTATTTCCATCTCCCACCCCCAAGAGGTTACTGAGTTCTTGGGGAGAAATGGATAAAGTATTTTTAAAATTTCCATGCCTATCAATGATTAATTTTATTTCTTGATTCTTCCTGCATGCATTTCCAGGACAGAATACATTATCTTTGCTCTGCTAGGCCCAATATTTTAAAGTCACAATATTAATTACATTTGTATGGGAAGGACAGAGCAAATCAACAGTTATTTCAAAATATATAATGTAGATTAAAAAGATGCTAATTGATTTCTGATTAGTGAAATCATATGCATGTGTCTTGCCACTTCATTCTGTGTCATAAAGCTTTATCCTCTGCCTTCCTTGTTTTTCTGTTTTCTTGCTTTCTCCCTCAGTATAACGGTGTGGTTCTAGAATTTAAATGACATTTTTGTTTTCCAGGGGGAAAAAAAATTTCCAAATCATTTGCTTTTAACTTTTAAAATCCTGAGCCAGTGACTTTTTTAAACCTCACCACAAAGTGCCAGAATTTGGCCAGCAAAAATCCTCCAAGATGCATGCTATAGTTGCCTTTTCTGTTACTGAAAGAACGATCAAGGCTCATCCTTGGAGAAAATGCCCCTTTATTGAGGAATAGCTCGAATATCTATAGAGCCATGGGTGGTTTGACAATTATGACAGTTTAATGGTTGAAGGGTTTGACAGTTGGCATGGGGTGCTTTCTGGGAAGGACATGTGAGCCAGCAGGGCTCACCATTGGATGGTTCTTCTGTGGGGGGGGGATGGGGAAGTTAGTCTTCGGAGCCAGGGCGACTCCCAACAGTTACCAACAGTCTGAACAGTGAAGACAGAGATGCAAAACTGGTCTTTTTCAGAAGGAATTTGAAAAACACTTCTTGCCTGACATGCTCATGAAATATTTGTGAAGATTGATTTGGATGATATAAGAAAAAATCCTTGAATTCACATAAAAGAATAGAACACAGCTTTGTATATATTTACTAATCTAAAAAAAAAAATTATGGGGCTGGGATTGTGGCTCAGTAGTAGAGTGCTCACCTAGCATGTGGGTTCGATCCTCAGCACCACATAAAAATAAATAAAGGTATTGTGTCCAACTACAACTAAAAAATAAATATAAAAAAATTATTTGTTAACCACTTTCATTCTTGTTTTCAAACTCTAAATTCATGTTTCTCTATTTTAATTTTTTTTTTAAAAGGCATTTTGGTGGTTTTTTGTTTTTGTTTTTGTGGAGGCAGCTATATATGTATTAAAGAGTGGTCAATTTGTTCCTTTTCATTTTAGTATTGACCTACTACTTAGAGTATATGTAGTTTGTAAGAGAAAAAGAGGGGGGCGCAGTTTAAAGTGTAGACATTAATGGGGCTGGAGGTGTGGCTCAGTGGTAATGAACTTGCCTAGTATACAGGAGGCCCTGGATTCGATCCCCAGCACTGCAGAAAAAATAAAAGAAGAAGATATTAATGATTTAAAACTATTTTATATCATTTGCTCTAATTATATTAGAATTTGAACCTGTAGTAAATTATAATGAGAATTTTTAAACATTGTAAAATGGCTTATTCCCAGATAAGATACTATATATTTTGTGTTAATTTTTTTTTCTTTTTGTTTTTTTGTTTTGAGCACAATAGAGCATGTCAGCTTTAATCATACAAGTACTCTAGGCCTAGGAGGTAATTTTCTTATATGTATAGGGCTACATAATTTTTTCATTCTAACCAAACATTTTTTAAAGGGAAACCAATACTAAATTAAAATGAAGTTGACTCTCATTATATTATTCTGTTTGAGGGGGAAGTATTCTAAAGTTAAAACCTTCTTATTTTGCTTTTGCTGTACTAGGGATGGAACCCAGGACCTTGTGCCTGCAAAGTGACAGTAAGTAACATGGCAGATTGTGTTTTCCAAAGATGGAAAGTACTTTCTTGTAGCTCAGTATGTTATTCTGCATTGTGACATTGTTACTCTTTAATCAAAAGTGTAGTCTTGAGCTCACTGGTAGAGTGTTTGCTTAGCATGCTTGAGGCCTGGGACCTATATCAATCCTCAGTGAGTACACACACACACACGGAGCATTTCTTGCTTGAATCTGGGTAGGTCTTTAGTCTGTTTTGACCATGGAAATGTAGAAGTGTTGATGTACCAGTTATAGGTATTGCTCTTACCTGGCCCGACAACATCTGCTTCTTGCCATTTGGAAGCCAACCAGCATTTAAGAAATTCATTTACCCTGAGGTCACTATTTTGTGAGTAACCCAAACTTATATGACGAATCCCTGAAGGATGACACATTAAGGGGAGAGGTGAAGGAGGAAAACCTAGGAAGCAGACATATAAGAAAGAAGTCTTGTGGGAAATGGATCCTCCAGCCCCAGCTGCCCTGTTTGTTGCTGTATAAATCACATGAGCCACTCAGTGGTGCTCTTCCCAATTTTTGATCCATAAAATCATGAGCAAAATAAAATGGTTTGTTGTAAACTTATAAGGTTTTGGATGCTTTGTTAATGAGCTATAGAGAACTACAACAAATACTGGGGCAGAATTAATATTTTATAATAGATAATGGTATAGGAATATATATATATTTGCATGTCTAAATTTCACAAGTAATTAGTATTTGCAAGAAATAAGAAATGCCTAAATTATCAAAAAACAAGAGCTCAGGGCTGTAGCTCAGTGGCAGAACACTTGCCTAGCATGTGTGAGGCACTGGGCTCGATTCTTAGCACTGCATTAAAATAAATAGAAAAAAATAAGTAAATAGATAAAAATAATTATTTAAAAAAGTGAGCCCCCAATAGAAAAACTTAATAAGGTTATGACTAAACAGTTTTGAGATTAAATCCAGCAAGCTAACAATGTTAAAAGGTGCTCAAACTCATCAGTAATCAAAGGGAATTTAGATGAAAACACTAGAAATCTTTATATATGCAGTATAGTAATAAAAATCAGAAAGATAGTTGATGTCAAGTATTGGGGAGGGGGGGAGGGGTAGAAACCATCATGGACTGCTGGTGAGAGTGGAAAGTAGAGCAGCCTGGCAGAATTTAGTTAAATGGATATAAATTGTTTCTGGGTACATGAACCCAAGAAATCTGAAGTCTCTAAAGGAGAAAAAAGTGGAAGTGAAGATATTCAGAAATTTGATGGTGAGGCTTAGATCCAACCTGAGATTCATCAGATAGGTAATATCTGATGTGTACAAATGTAGTGCCATGCATCATACGAAAGACAACAAATACCTACAAGTCAATTTTAAAAGATGAGTTTAGTAAGAACGGTAATGGAATCTATAGCAATAAATTTGGAAGTTTTGCGATAAAAAAATGTTTAAGCAGATGTTTCAAATACATTGACATGGTTACTTAGGGGACCATGGACAGAGGGGAGAGAAAACAGGATTGGAGAATGAGGTAAAAGATGGCAGTGGTGATGGGTGTATAGTGAGACAACACAGAAAATGAACAAATTTTCTGTTGTAGGTCCAATGCTCCCTCCAAGAAGAAAAAGCTATAATTCTTAATCTAAATCAATTGGTGGACTATAACATTGTGGTCAAGCAGGCAATCTCATTTTGTTGGTTATGGAAAACAGTACTTACCAAGTTCTTTAAAAATGCTCATTTCGTGGGACTGGGGTTGTGGCTCAATAGTAGAGTGCTTGCCTAGCACTTGTGAGAAACTGGGTTCAATCCTCAGTACCACATAAAAATAAATAAGTAAAAGTTAAAAAATGCTTTAAAAAATGCTCAAATCCTAGTAACAAACAATTGTTAATTGAAATTAAGAAGACAAAACCCACTTAAATATCATCAGTAAACAAAATACCTGGAAATATATACAAAAATTTATGTGAGACCTGTACACTGAAGGAGAAGTTAGGAGAAGTTAATACCTAAGTAATGAGAAATATACCATGTTATTGATCAATTTGAAGTTGAAATCTTAAAAATGTAGAATCCTCCAATCCATGAACATGGTATATTTCAAAATACCAGGAGGCTATTTTTTAAAATCATTTTTAAATGGAGAGACCCCAGTGTGGGAAAGACAAGAAGGATTTATATTAACTGGTTTTAAGACTTTAAACTGAAGTAGTCAAGATAGTGTGATTCTTATATAATCACACATATATATATACAAATCAAAGGGACATAACAAGATGGAGATGTACACATATCATCCAAGGATTTTCAGCAAAAGTGCCAAGGTAAGTCGGTAGGGAACAGAATCTTTTCAACAAATAGTGCTGGAACAATTGGGTATCCATATGCAAAGTGATGAGACTTATCCCTTGCCTCCTACTATATTCAAAGATTAACTTGAAATAAGCTATAAACATAAGAACTAAAACTGTAAGGAAAAAAAAACTTGAAGAAAACAGAAGAAAAGTCTTTGTGATTATAGATAATGTAAAGATTTCTTGGATAAGACAAAAAATGAAATAAAAAATAAATGGAACATCATCAAAATTAAAAACTTTCCCTATGAAAAAAGGGAAAAATGTCTTCCCTAAAAAAGTTAGAACTGTTTTTAAAAAAATATTTTTTTTAGTTGTAGATGGACACAATATTTTATTTATTTATTTATTTAGGTGGTGCTGAGGATGGAACCCAGGGCCTCACGTGTACAAGGCAAGCACTATACCATTGAGCTACAACCCCAGTCCCTGAAGTAGCACTTTTAAGAAAACAAAAAAGCAAACTGTACTGGGAAAAGTATTTGCAAGACATCTGATGAAGGAGCCCTCTCCACAGATATAAATAATTCTTAACATTTGATAATAAAACAGCCTAATTAAATGAATAAGCAAAAGCTTCATTATGTAAATGAGCCAAAGATCACCTCTTTCTCCCTGATAAGCTTCAAACTCTTCCAGCCCTATATATGATTTAAACATATTTCAAATAATATTCCAAATAAACACTTGAAAAATGTTTATTATTTTTAAAGATAATGCTAATTAATCTGCACTAATGAAAACCACATTGAGGGCTGGGGTTGTGGTTCAGTGGGAGAGTGCTCGGCTAGCATGTGTGAGGCCCTGGGTTTGATCCTCAGCACCACATAAAGATAAATAAATAAAGGTATTGTGCCCATCTGCAACTAAAAAAGATTGAAAAAAGAACAACATTGAGATACCATTACATATGAACTAGATAAAAAAGCCTGACAATACCAAGTGGTGATGTAGATGTGGAGCAACTGGAACAAAATGGAAAGGACACTTTGTGAAACAATTTGGCAGCTTGTCATAAAATCAAGTACTTCTATGACATTCTGTTCCTCAGTGTTATTTATCCATGGGAAATAAAAGCTTTGTTTACACAAAGTTTTATGTCAGAAATTGGAAAGAACCCAAATATTGATCAACTGAACAAGGGATAATCAAATGGAACACTACTCAATAATAAAAAGGAACTGACTACCAATATACCACCAGTTAATCTCAAGAACGTTGTCCACTGTCAGACACAATTATGTCCTGCGGAGTTCCATTTAAATGCATTTCTAGAAAGACAAAACTAGAATGACAGTGGAATCTGTGGTTGTGATGGGTGGAGTCAGGAAGACAAGAAGAAACTTGCATATCTTGATGGTGGTGGCTACACAACTGCACACATTTATCAAAAATGAACAGCTGGGGTCGGAGCTTAATAGAGCATGTGCAAGGCCCTGGCTTCAATCCCCAGTGTTTGGAGAACAGGATGATTGAACAAAGTGAGGTGAGGTAGCATGTGATTATAGTTCTGGCTACACAGGAGGCTGAGGCAGGGGGATCACTCCCACAAGTTCAAGACCAGCCTGGGCAACATAGTAGGATCCTGTTTCAAACAAACCAAAAATCATTGATTATAATTTGGGAATTGTATTTGTCCCTCAAAGTAGGTGAAGAAAAAGTTCATGCCTTTTGACTCAGAAAGAAAAAAAGAATAAGAGATGTGTATAAAACTTATATAAATATAACGGTGTTCATTTCAGCATTATTTATATACTACTAGTTCAAACAAAGTAAATATCCAGAAATAGTTAAATTATTAAAATCTCTCTTTGATACATTCATGCATGAAATCTGCCAAGCCATTAAGATTATATGGAAAAAAAAAATAAAAAATAAAGAATATACTGTATGAAATTGTCAAAAAAAAAAAAAAAAGATTATATGGAAGCCAGGCACCGTGGCGCAGGCCTGTAATCCCAGCGGATTGGGAGGCTGAGACAAGAGGATCGAGAGTTCAAAGCCACTCTCAGCAAAAAAGCAAGGAGCTAAGCAACTCAGTGAGACGCTGTGTCTAAATAAAATCAAAATAGGGCTGGGGATGTGGCTCAGTGATTGAGTGTCCCTAAGTTCAAACCCCAGTACACCCCCCCAAAAAAAGATCATATAGAAATTATGACTTGGAAAAGTGTTTACTATTTTTTTTTTAAGAGAGAGAGAGAGAGAGAACTTTTTTAATATTTATTTTTTAGTTTTCAGCCGACACAACATCTTTGTATGTAGTGCTGAGGATTGAACCCGGGCCGCATGCATGCCAGGCGAGTGTGCTACCGCTTGAGCCACATCCCCAGCCCAAGTGTTTACTATTTTAAGTAAAAAGGCAGATTATTACTCTGGCAGTTTACAGTAAAAACAATAACTCATTATCTCATTGATAAATAAGGGTTAGGTGGGATTTTGTGATAATATATAAATACGGTTTAAAATCTGGTACCTCAATGTATATTTTTCTTCTCACAGAAAATGGATGGGATTAAAAATTTAGACTATTCATTTAGAGCACTCATTCATATCCTCATTAAACACACATAATATAAACATGATGTAGCACTTCCGGCACATGTCTGTTATGCACACCCTGGATTCCATCCATAGCACCA